AGCCAAAGGAGGTAACACTAGCTATTAGGGGCTAGGGTGTGCTATCTTTTTCCTCAGTTAGAATAGGCATTTTTGTAGAATTACATTTACAGAAGATCTTGAAAAGACCTTTCTTCAGTTTTACTTGTTTAGTTGTATTACTTTAATCTCTCTGTATTGTTAAAATTAAGATTAAATAACCATATATTAAAACATGTTACAAAATACACATGCTTTCAAAGGGTGTCCTAATTTTTTCACGACTGTATATGATCTGACCCATCAACCTAATAGCTTACTGACATATCCAATTGATCTTATGTATACGAGTGTGAGACTTACAAGTAGATGTTTCTGCAAACGTTCATTCTTCTCGGCCTCGGTCGTACGCTCCTCTTCACTTCGGTCCTTGTATGTGGCTGCAGATGTGAACTCAGCGCTGGCCTCAGCGTTGCTCTCGTCATTCTCATCATGCTCATTCTCTGCGTTGAGTGGCTCTTGAACGTGAGCTGTCATTTTGTTTTTAAGCTCTTCTTTGGTCTTCTCCAGGTCCTCCTGCACCATGGTGGCCTGCAGAAACAGAATGGTAATAAGGTAATATTAATTAGAACTAACAAAAAAAAAACAAAAAAACAAAAAAAACAAAAAACAAATGCTGAAATTAATGGGAATGTCAGTTTGCAGGGGTTTGGTCATTTACCTGGAAATACAAAAAAACTTTAATATTTTGACCTGATGATGGTGGTTAATGAAAAATTAAGCAAAAAGTTATGAGAGCAAGTTCTAAAACTACATTCCACTGAGACTCACTCATAAAACACACCGAATATTGAATTTTCATCTCCTAAACTCAATCAGTGTTTTCTCTGCCTTGTTTCCCTGCTTCATTTTCAGTGATGCTTAATTTCTTCGATGATTTGAATAATTAAGGTACAGTAAAAAGTGTTGCTTGAGCTACGAGGGGCTACAAAAATAAGAGTGAGTTATTAGTAAGCTAGGAATGTCAGTTGAATGTTTGCCAGTAGTATGAGGACCACCTTTTAGCATAGCAGCCTTTTATAGTCAGAATATCCTAATGGAACAAAACAAATTCACAGGATTTCCTTCACACAAAAGGCGCCCGTCTGCATCACAAACAGCACAAGTCATACCAGCCCAAAAAAAAAATGAAGGGGCTTGGCTAGCACACATGGGTTTTTCCAAAAAAGACATGAGGAAAGCTGGGAGCTTTCACCCCTCCCCCCAGAACGCACAATAAGACCCCAGGAATGTTTGTCATCAGTGTCACAAGGGAGGGGCTATGTAGTCAGCAGTATAATAAACAGCTGCCATTTGTCTTTATTTATGTTGATACTGAGGATACTCAGTAGAGATTTAAACTAAGAGTAGGCAGAGTAACAGGGCTGCCTGTCTCACTCAACTCCCCACATGATGTAGCAATGCATAGTTTTACCGTTTTCCTACTCAAAATGGGGAAGAAGAAGAAGAAATTTTGCCATTTGAGTTCTATGTTATGCAAGTTAAAGTTACTATCGTATGGAGCCCCAAAGTATTCAATATTAAATATTATGAAACAAATAATCACATGAATAAATAGTGTAAAATATATAAATAAAAATCTGTGAACTATTTCAAGAAATTTAAACAGTACTGTAAAATGTTATTTTATTATTATTTTCTTACTAACACTGTTAGGACTTCATTTTTATGTCCCCCCTATAAGTCTGCTTGTAAAGGCACCACCTTTTCACCTCACAGTCAATCACATGCCCCCTGCTTCTAAAACCAGCAAGCTCAACAACTGCTACCCAGTTAGCACCTGTTAGCTTGAGAACAATGTCAACAAAGCAATATCACATTTATTCTAAATCAGCTAGCTGCTGTAAATATAAACAGTAAACATTGCATTTAGTCATTAGTCGAGAGACTCTTCTAGTCAAGCCTTTGTTTTTCTTTTACTTTTTGTCTGCCAGTATGCATTACAATAGAAGGGAACCACAACCCTTTTTAGTTTGTCGTCCTCCTCTCCTCACGTTGGTGTGCCAAACAGCAATTTGCTCAATACTTCCCCCTGTGGTCTGGGGGGAATACTCAGTGTCACAATGGTGACACTGTCTGACAAATGGATGTACATTAAGGTACAGCAAGGTTAGAAAAGGTTTTGCATAGCCTAATGTTACTAATAGCCAGTTTACTGACTGTTTCTGCAACATGCATCCCATCCAAATGGGACTAGGAAGCTAACAAAAATGTGCAAGGAAAACATTTCAATGAGGAATTATGAATAAGAATCATTTGTAGTGCAAGCTGGCACACAAACGCACAGCAACAACACACGCTGTGGTGAACTGACATGAGATACTCAAAATTGTTGGTAAACTAGGCTATAACCATGTCTCAGAAGAAAAAACTGCCTAAGAGCATTGTTTCAACAGAAATACAAGTCTCGTTATTCTGACAAATCCATATGGCAGCCTTACATTATATATCATCAATTTAAATAGGTCGCAATTTAAATCTTGCAACTGTGTTTTATTGATTTTTAGATGCTCAGAAATAACTCTTTTGTATTTAAATACCGATGTTAATGTGGTCAAAATATGAATAAAATTCATGCCGGTTAGTTGCACTGAAGAGCCAAATAACAGTTGGTGACAAAATCCTCATGTCGGGTAGAGCCCTATGAAAAAGCTTTTTCAGGTCGATACGTTTGTGAGTGACAGGCAGGAAACAATGACTTTCTTTTAAAGTTAGTCCACAAGTTTGCACTTCGCAGTTTAATGCACAACTGTAATAGTCACTGCAATGAAGGGAAGACAACGATTTGGTTAATATAAAAAATTGTCATATTTCATACTGCACCTTCTGTTGCCACTGTACTGCCTCATCTTCCTTCTTCTTCTTGGCATCTTCCAGGAGGGAAATCTTTGAGGTCAGCTCAGCCAATTCTGTGGCCTAAAAGGACAACATTTTGTTTTAACTGACTTTCTTGACATTGGTGCTTGAAGCATCAAAGCTGTTTTCAGCCATCACACCCTATATATTTGCAATGACTGGCAAATAGTTCAGGATAACTGACCAGGTGTTCTTGGTTCTTCATCTGGTTCTGTGACTGTTGCAGCAGCGCCACCTTGGCATCTTCAGCACTCCTTAGATCATTCTCCAGGCGTTCAGCCTCCTCCTGCGCTCGCTTCCTCTCCTGGTCCAGCTCCAGAGCTTTCTGTGTTTGCTCCTCCAACTCTGTGCAGGCAGACATTGACAGGCACAGAGAAACACTGTTAAGCCTTGTGTGAGAAAAACACTATTGCTATTCATTACAGTATGGGGACAAGCTTTTCTTGAATACTGAAAAGTCACCCACCTTGTTGGGCTCTTTTAGTCTGCTCCTCAATCTGCTTTAATCGCTCCATTAGCTCCTCCTTTTCCTTTTCAATCTTTTCCTTTTCCTTTTCTGCAAGTTCTCTTTTCCTCTTTTCATTTTCCAGCAGAGCTCTAATGAGAATAGAAGCAGTAAACATGATGCCAGACCGATTAGATTATACAGGGATCATTGTTAATCTTTTAAAAGCAGGATAAATTATCAATCTATCATACATACCATAGCATACTAGTTACACATAATCATTACACACAAAGCAAGGTTTCACTGTTATAATTAAATTTTATAAAACTGTTGCAACAAACCAAACAGACCCACTTGTATGATATACTTTTAAACCAGGCTAGTCTGTGGTAAGATATAGCAGAATAACAAACCGTAGTTATTACATTTTTGGTTTATTTACAGTATTGGGATACTTCCTGAATTTACTCAAGTCACATAGTGTCATCAAAGCTATATGTAGATGTAAAATTGTTCAGGCAACAGCTTGTGACCCCTACCTCTCCATCTTCTTGTGGTTCTTCTCCTCTCGAGCCTGAGCCTTCATCTGCTGTACTTCAATGGTGTCAGGTTTGCGGCGGCGCATGTACAGCTCATGGTTGCCCATGCACAGAGCGAGAATGCGCTTATTGATGCGCAGTCTCGGAGCATAGAATACAAAATCCTAAAATGGCCACAATAAAGATTTGTATGAGTAATACTACATATCATTAACAATCATTACCAAGCTGTCTGTTATTAGAAGTTAACATACAGGTGATTTCTTGTCAATTGGTTTAATGACAAACTTCTTGTCACTGAAGGAGATGTTCCTTATTTCACTCCAAGGAAATCCAATTTTGGGCGTCATTCTGTTAAAGAAGGTACAAAAACTCTGTATCAGCTGATTTATATGGACAGGAATTAGTCACGACAAACCCTATTTATACTGACCATGTGAATCCATGGCAGTTTCAAATATACAATGTTGTGGAAAAACTTACTTGTCATTTTGTTCATAAATGTTGAGTCCCAGAGCATCCACTCCCAACCACAGTTCTGTTCCTTTCTTATTCTTTATGCTGAAGTAGTTGACTCCATACATCTCAAGGTCTTGAGCAATCTTCAGATACTCCATCATGGATTCCTCTCTGTGGACAAAAAAGGCATGTCTTAAACACTTCAGAGAGCCCAATTAAGGAGCACCTAATCAAACAACACTGAGCTCAAGGTGGCATGCCCCAGGGATGAGGGAAACATACAGCACCAAGGCTGAAAACAAGCCTTGAGAAGAACAAGACAACTCAACAAGAAGAGGAGCGTTCCAGTTACATATTTTGTAGAGTTAGACTGCGACCCAGTGTGTGCTGAAACCTCCAATACCAAGTCTGAGAAATACTTTAGTGGACACTTCTGTCATGTAGAATCAAATGCTGTAATCCTCCAAATATAGACAATTCAGTCAGTACTTTGGGGTGTGAGTGTGAAATATTCTCTTGAAATGTCATTTATTTAAAAAGCAAGGGAGCCAAAATGATGTTTTCCTTCAGTTGTTTGTGTGTGCATGCATATACAGATGAACATGTGTGCCAGTGGCTACCTCATCATGCCTTTGTGCTCTTCATGCCACACTTGAATCCTCTCCTCCCACTGGTCCTTGTTGAGTTTGTGCTGGTCCAGAACTCTGAGAACATGAGACGTCCGAGCATCAGAAGTCATGCAGAGGAATGTGTCTCATAATACCCTGGCTAGAAAGTGACGTATGTATGATGTTAACTATGAGATTGGAATGGTGATGAAACCCATGTTACCTCTGAGGGAGCAGCTGTTCACTGGACAGATAGCCTGGTGTGTGCACTTCCTTATTATAGTCGCCATACTTGGCCTGCACCGCGTAAGAAGCCAGGAGGACTGCTGTCTCTGGAGGGCAGTAGATGTCATCATTTAATATTCCCTCCTTCACCTGCAGGAAGAACAGACGCTGTGTGGCATCCTGGATCAACTCCTCTGACACATCCTCAGGGAAGAACTTGGCACGGAACTTAAACAACAGTGGGCTTTCCTTCCTCACATCCTGGGCTGTCACCTAAAATAAAATATGCCACATGGTGAGGGGTAGAGGTGACATTTCAGTAAATAAACTTGAGATCCATAGAATAGTTGAAACTTGACAAAGAAGGGCAAAAGAGCATATTGTGAAGCAAAATGCTGAAGAGCTCACCTTCTTATTGAGCTTGAGCCATGTAGAGAAACCCTTTGTATCCTGGTACTGGAGTCCAAAGTACCAAACCTCCCGTAGCCCAATGGTCTTAACAACCTGAAATCAAAAGCAGAAGTATTACTAATGTGCCTTCTCACCAGAGCAGTAGCACATGCCATTCTATTACAGGTGCCATTTGTCATGGTGTCTGTTCCTTCCCCGAATAATAATCCTTTGTTAAATTTTCTAAATATAGCGGTATTATATCCCTGTGTTTTTACAAAACAGTAGAGCTGCAGTGATTACTCAATTAATTGAGTCAAAAAATTAACCAGCAACTATTCTGATAATTGATTAATATTTAAGAAATTTTTATGTTGCAAAAATACCAAGCATTATGGAAACTGTGATGGACTTTAACTATTAGATGTATTGTAGTCTAAAGGATGAATCAGTTAACTCAAAATAATCTGCAGATTAATGGCTAGTTGCAGCTCTAAATGGCAGTACAAATGTATTGCATTAACAATGGAAATTGTTATGTATTATGTTATGTTATGTACTTAGTCGAAGAACAAATTATTAGCATGGTAGTTACACAACAGTTGAACGTAGTGTGATCTGTTGGTTAATTACAGTTTATATCTTAATTTATTTTGTTGACAATAACTCTGGGGTTAAAAATAATCTTGTGAAAGTCACATGCCAAAATGAAAAAAAAAAAAAAAAGCTTGTGCTTCCAACTTCGGTTTGAGTCCCAGGTTTACTACTGTCAATTGAAAGCACACAACACTGATGATGAAGATAAAGGAAGGTTTTGTAAATGGAACTTATTTCTCATACCTGGTCAAAGAGTTGCTTCCCTGTTGTATTGGGCTGAATGGCAAACTCCAGTTCAGCATCCATTGTGGTGACTCTTACACTAATCTGAAGAAGAGATCAAATTGTAAGAATGAGCCATTTTCTAAACAGCATTATGGATACAGTCAATACATAAGGGGCGGCTGTGGTTTAGTGGGTAGAGCAGTCGTCTCACAACCGGAGGGTTGGTGGTTTGAATCACGGTGCCTGCAGTCCACATGTTAAGGTGTCCTAGTGCAAGACACTGAACCCCCAAGTTACCCCCGATGGTTAGAGCCATCGGTATGAGTTGTTGCCACAGATGGCTGCCATCGGTTCTGTACTGGAAACAAATTCCTTTTTGTGTGTGTGTGTGTGTGTGTAACATGCTTGGCCAAATAAAGGTGATTATTATATCACATATAGTAATATCACTGCAGTAAAAATCAACCTTCCACTTTTTTTTTTTTTTTTTGTAAATTGATGACTTCATTATTACTGTTGGTATGATCAGGACACTGCACCTTACGTCTCAAAGAAATTGATGTGTTTATTTCTTTGAGCTGTCAAAATTCACTGCCCTATGGATTCTATTTGAAGAGTTTAGCATTTACCCCATTTCCAAGTGCCTCTCCATTTGCACGCCTCTAGTGTAACCACCTTTCTTGGCTTAAAGTTTACCATATATGGAGTTTGGAAACACTTTTTGTGTGCTGCCTCCAGTAGTGTATTAAAAATTAAATCAAAAGACTTCTGCCCTGATGATAACTTAAAGACACTTTAGTCACATACAGTTTTACAAATGGTGAATCCTTGGCAGGCTTTGGGCATGTTCTGAATAAACCTGCCTATGTACAAGCAGCAAATGTGCCCTTCAGTAAGCCATGTCTGTAGGAGAACAAGATTAGGGTGTGTCTCTCATGGGCAGAATGTAAAAACACACAAAGAAACTATTATTAGCACGTCAGAAACGCCCCTTTCAGGCCCACGTGTCATGTTTCCATTACTTATTCTCAGCATCTTTTAAATCAGTTTAAATTAGGCCTAATGTGAATAACCAGCAGAGGAAACCATCATCATATCATGAAAAATTATATTTTGGTAACTGTAGAATTCATGAAACGTCCCTTGGTTGGACAGTGTACAGCCAATGTGCCAATCTGGCTTTGCCTCAGTATACAACTTATCTACAGGAAGTAACCACATCCTCTGGTGGCTGGGCTTTGTGAGGCACTGCTGCTAAACACTGTGCTCTCATGAGAGTCATATATATCCTGTCATGTATCAAGCAATCAGTCAGCTTTCTGCTAAGATACATATGCCGTAGCAGAGTAGGACAAGAACTGTGAATTCATTCCTCTTCAGGTAACACACTTTGTTACAGCTGGTTATTGTGAGGCGATTCTTATTTAAGCAACTGGACATGTTTGTGTATTGCAGAATTCAAAGGTGAATATGTTTCTTTAACCTAATGTCCCCCTCAGTGAGGTCACCCAGAGAGTAAGCTGATTCTGTACTTAATAAACTGACCATGTAGACATGTCTCATTTTCTCTGATGAAAACAGCAGCATTCATGTCTGTTGGGAAATAACTGTGGGCTGAGGCCCACGCCTGCCCTGAACAATGCTACGCATTATTTTCCAGTTGCGGGGCTGATCAGAGTTGCGTTCCATCCAATTCATGTCAGCAGGACCCCGTTTACTGCTCAGGACACTTGCCCCTCTGTCATTTCCTGCCATCAGACAGGTCAGAGGGAAATCTACAGCCCCTCACAGCTGTCTAGACAACCCACTCTTTAAACTAGCTATGAATACTTTTCCATTTCTGCAGATTCAGAGTTCAGTGCATGATCACCCTGCTGGGGTTTAAGTGGTTTCATTTCCTGTATTGCAACAGCTAATCTTGCATGAAAAAGGAACTACATTCAAATTTTCTGCCTGCTTAGGGTGTGTCTCTCATGGCCAGAATTCAAAAACACTTAACAAGCTATTATTAGCAAATGACCAAAAACACCCTTGTCAGGCCCATGTGTCATGTTTCTATGGCTTTACTAACCTCTTTGACACCAAAACTATGCTCTGCCAATAAGTTCCTTCACTTTTAACAAGTTATACATTTAGAACCATATCTAAAGATGAATTCCATGACAATGCTGAATGACCTATGTAATGCAAAACATTCAAGACTGCATTAACATTTTTAAATTTATCTTCTCCATTTTCTTTACCTTTGCTCATACAGTTATGTCCTAGCGATTCAGTGCACAAAATCATAAAGATTTATTACTTCATACGTCATTACTTAAACATGTGACATTCTCAAAGCAATTATTTAATCACGGAGTAGAACAGATATAAATGTTTACTGATTATTACTTATATTAAAATAATTATATGGCATAAAAGTATAACATATTGAAAATTTATATCAGGTTAACATCTAGTTTTAGGATAATTATATACACAGTCTTGGACCTGTATCTATACCACAATTAAACGCTGAGGCAGCAGTGAATAACACCGTTTTTAAAAAGCAAATGTGTGGCTGAAAATAGAAGTAAAAATCACAAAAACCCAAATTCTTCAAACGGTTGTATAGGCACAAAGAGGAGCATAGTGGCTCATGAGTTGAGACTGGAGCTGCTTCACTGTTGTAGTTGTGGACTGTTGTCTGAAAAGCTGTTTTTCTTCACAAATTACAGTAAAAAATCATCATAAAAACTACATTTAATTGGGGGTTGTGCTCTTTAGTGTTACAAATTGATGGTGATTTAATAAAACCCAGAAAGTTATGAACCAGACTATGGCTCAAAAACCAAGGTCAATGGCAGAAAGCTAAAACGGAAAACATGATAATTAACTCATCTGTATGAAGCGGGCAAGTTTTCTGTTTTATATTTATGTGACAACTCAGAAACATATGCGGCCGTGGAGAAAGTAACCTAAAAGTCAACCCTAGGAAACACCCTGGGTTACTTTGCCAGGATGAGGAAGTAAAACTACTGAAACACCAAAGGGTGTGATTTAGGATCAACCAAAAGCCAGGCTAAAATACTTGTTTGTTTAAAGATCAGTCAAATGCCACAAGTCATTTTACAATGACTTACCATAAAAATGAGACATGTTCCATATTATTCCCTGTACTTTTTACATACATTTTTTTTTGTATATTAACATTTTTCTTTTCTATCAGAAAAACAATAAAATGTGTTGGGGATTGTTTAGGTGTACTCAGACTCACTTTTAACCATCAGCAATAGCAGTCATGTTTGTACTGGGTCTTTACATTAGCATGGTATGTTTTTGGAACATATCAATGACTTTAGATCATTAACATTTTAGTTTTGTTAACACTAAGGATTTACAGTATTGGTCACTTTATAAAAGATCTATTCTTGCACAAATATTTTTCTGTTTAATAATGCACTGCGTAGAAACATTACAAAAGCATTTAAATGAATGCATTTTTGTTTTTATACATCCCATTGTATTGTAGAAATAAGTGACAGATTAATCTATTATTAAAATAGTCATTAGTTGCAGCCCTGAATATTATAATTCTGAGTCACGCCATCCATAACAGTCAGTTGTAGCAGTTTTGTTAGAAAATGTCACGTAGCGACCTGCCCTGAGTACGGTGCAGCATAACCGCCCTAATTACTTATCCTGTACTAGAGTAATGACCTTGCAGTTTCCATTCAGTAAAGTATTGATGCAGCGAAAGCCAATTCAGTTCCTCAATAAAAACTTGAATGATCTTTGCGCTAAATGAAAGTGGTGTGCATTGCTTTCATGGAGCGCAGCTGCATTCTGCGTGCAGCCTTCCTCCATTTAATGCTGTGCTTATGTATTTGCCATGAATGGTAATTTAAGTAAAGCAAAAATTGCCCACTTTAGGTAGAAAAATACATCTCATCTCTGCTTTCCAGATTAGCCTGTGGTTGTGTGTTGATGCACCTTAGCATTACACTGAAGAAACTCTCAAGACTGGGTGAGGAAAGAGGAGGTTACAGAAGAGGATGAGGTTTCTTTTTAAGCAGGGTGCAGTACACATACAAAGGAGAGGGGTCTTTTAGAACCGTTTCCCATGACCAGTGTTTCTTAAATTGAATACAAGCTTCATGAAATGACTTACTTGTTGTTTTTAGTAAAAACTATTATGGTCATACAGACAGCTGCTTCATACTCTTTTCCATCATTTGCACTCTCTTGACTCTCATCATTTCCAGTTTACTGTGCACTGTCACCTGACTGGTCACCAGCTGGCACACCTGTCCTACATTACCCCATTAGTTTTGCTATTTTGTTGTTCTGCCTGACTGCCTTTATCCTAATGACATATTGCATTTCTATGTACTACTCCATTTGTTTGCTAAACATACTTGTCATTGAGTTGCCAAGTGTCAGCTCTCCTACTGACTGAGTTTAGACTGTTTTATCCCTGCTGGCCAAGTCAGCTTTTGGGTTCAAATCCTGTGTTACATTGTTACAGCTATACAGGCAGAAAATCTGTAGACCCCAAAAAAAATATTAAACAATAAGACAGAAAGATACTAATGCTTATCCAAGTATGTTGGTGCCTAATTTCCCAGTATACCTTTTGACTATAATTGTTCATATAACATATTTCAGTCCTGCTAGCTGCTCTGTTTGTTTTGTCTGCAGTAGTGGTTTATTTTACTACTTCTAGAGGAGTCAAGCCCATGCTTTAGCAGGTCAGTAGGGTGCTTATTCCAACAACCTTAACTGGGGGAAAAGTTGCCATAATCAGCAGCAGACCTAGGTGGGCTGTGAGGAGTGACTCTGGTACCATCCACTGACAAGAAGAAAAGAAAACAAACCCACCAGATGTTCTGTTTGCAGTAATGCAATACTGTGCTGGCTTATGCTCACTGTAATGCTTTGCTTATATTATGCAAACACTTTGCTATCTTAAAGGCTGTAACAAATATTTTCATTATAATCATTAATTCATCTCCCATGTCATTGTAACATGGTTATATTTTAACATCTATATGTTATGCCCTACACACATTACTTATCCCAACAGCAGCTAGAAGATTAAAAAAAAATTAAGCATACAAGTTCATATTAATAAAACAATAACAAAGTACTTACTTTCAGAAGTTTGATTTTCTCACAACACCCAAACAGACAACAAACTACTGGTGGCATGCGAGTACAAACCTCAGATGTTCTGATTCTAGTCCGTCCACTATATCTACCTCAGCATGCTGTTAATCTGCTCTGCTATGTGCAGTACAGGCCCATTTAATCCCCTGCTTGCATACCGGTTCTTTCCATTTCCCATTTTACCACAGTTTAGGCCTCCTAACAAGAAAATCAGTCATGATTTCGACATAATGGGCTAAAATGGTAAGTTTTGTTCAAATTCTATATAATAATTGTAGTCTGCTTCTTTATTTATGTCTGAAAAAAGGTGTTTACTATTAATTTGAGCAACATTTTTCACAATTTGTGTATAATGAAAAACCTATTTAAATGGGAAAACAAGAAAACTTACTATTGTTAAAGTCTATCCGTCTGTCAAATTTTAGCAATAAAACCAAATAACATATTTGTTTGTTTAGTGAAAAAAAAATTAATTTCATTTCTTTAATTAAGAGGTGATTCCTTATTAAAGCAGATAAGCCACATCTACACATTACAACAACCTTCAAACAAAATGCAAAACAAATGCATATTTAAACCAATGTGTAAGTGACACTTTAAAGGCTGAAGAACACTAGAGTAAATCCTAAACTTGTTGTACTTCTGTAATCCAATCTAAAGTGGAGCATGGTATCTGAGGACCATGCTGGGGGAAGCAGGGAGGAGAACAGCTAGACCATGATGTGAAAGTCCATATAAGGTTGCAGGCGAGGAAATTACCAGAAAGGAACTGATGTAAGTGCAGAAACCTTGAGTCACAACATGTCTTCCTTGGGAAACTGAAGTACTGCCAAGAGGAGTCCAGCAAAGGCAGAGATTCTCAATAATTACTGCTTCTTGGAAACATCAGTGTTTTTACAGTACATTTAACTACAAAAAATAATTCTAAAACTATAAATAAACTATGTTTGAAAAGTTAGGGCACCTAAACAGAGAATGGAAAAACTGTTTTTTCACACCAGGAATCTGTTGCTCCTTAAGCCGGCATGGTGCGGATGTGACAACAAGTCGGGAGCCAAACTTTCACTGGGTGCAGAATTAGTTTTGGAGCATTTGCTGAATCAGTGTGTTTAGCTTCCTTTTTACATACGCCTTGTCCACTGCATCTTCACATGGCACCACAAGCTTTACAAAAGGAAACAAACCACTGAGTGTTAAAACAACAGGCCTGGATTTTAACCATTGTATTGTTGATATCACCTTCCACCAGGAACAGTGATTAAGGTAGAGCTTAATGGATCACTGCAAAGGGAACAAACTAACTTCTCCTATCACTCTATAATATTTGTGCCAGGCACATTGTGTATAAACCATATTCCACAATCATTTCTGGTCATCACCCATTGCCCCTGGTTATTTTGATAAAATCTTGCTGCTTCCTCTTGACCAGTCATTTCCTAATTTTGAACTGGTTAAGGTCTCGACAACAGAGCTACGTTTCCCTGCAGTGTCCCAGTGTTTGTGAACTGACTGTCAAACAGCTGCTACATGTGCATGAAGTGTACTGTAGGCTGCTACTCTGACCCTGTTGAGATTAACAGCATCCCAGCTGTGCTCCGCATAGATTTGGCACAAAGACTGACACTAGTGAAGAACTAACTATTTTTTCACTTTCAAGTGAAAAAATATAAATGAATTCTAATCAGCTTCAGTGCAGAACATCTGTAAGTCTCTAACAGCTGCAGATACTGAGCTCCACTTACTAGTCATCGACCTGTGATTGTGCTCAGTAACGTATCATTTTGCAGTTGTATTTGGAATATTTTTTCCTTTGTCTTCTGCTAAGAAACTGTGCTTAAAAATGAAAACATTATATGAAGAAATGTGCCAATTTATTACTAGTGAATACTAAATGGTAATGTTGCTCCTTTGAAAAATATACTGATGTAATGGATTGTATTTTTTATACTGTGACCTCTAAATGACTTCCTACCGAAGACTTCCCTGTTTGCCATTGTTTTTATTTACATGGTCTGATCTACAATTTCATATACAACTGACTGCTGACCAGTTTTTTGTCTATGCTTTTTTGCCCAGCATTCTATATACTGATGGACTTTTTAAAGTGTATTTGCTGGTACATTTGTATGGTTTTTTGTTTGTGTGCTCTGTGTAGGACTTCAGTTCCCTCTGTCTTGTGTTGCCTAGTAGATCATCTTCATCCCATGAGTCACGAGCGAGAGTTTTTTAGCCTAACATTCCTTTATTGTCAGCTTGGTATTGTAGTATAATGTGCTCAGAACAACCTGGACAAGAAGGATGACTGCACACAGATGCCGCAGTTTACAGATCATCTTCTCGTTTCAAAAAGCATTATGCTGAGTCAAAGCCCAACTCACAACCTCTCAAGGGGCAAACAGAAAAGATGGGTTTGAAACCACTTTCACTTCTGTTTCCCTGATGAAGGCATGAGATGAAATGTTGAACTTTGACTAATCATAAGGCTGTCTGAATTTAAAAAAAGGAGTAAAGTCTGAGTGCGGTCTCTCTTCTCTTTGTTCTTGGCTCAACCAGCACAATCTACACTGGATGTCAGAGCTGGGGGCAAAATCTGGCCCTCCACTCTTATCAGTGGCAATAGGGCGTCTCTGATTTAAATTTGCCTCCATTTGCTCCTTATTTGGAGCGCAGCTGGCCTGAATGACAACTGAAGTCCCCCCCCTTGTTAGACTGGAGTGAAAAGGAGGCCTAGCCCGCTTGCTACCGCAGGGCACACAGTGGCTTTTGCTGGAGAACAGTCTAAAAATGTGATTCCAGGATCTTTAGTTGTGAACAGAGGGTCATAACATCCTAGTGTGCCAAGCCCGGGGGCCTGAATGAATGATTCGATTAATTCTGATGAACTCCGGAGAGGAGCGCGCACACGCACCCACGTAACGGAATAAGAACCCAGTAGCCTACTCTTCGAGTGAGTCTGAAAAGATGTAGCGTTAACACATCTTATTTATACCAGGGGTGCAATGAATATTAGCAAGTTGGTAGTAGTGCGAAGTTCCATTATCAAACACAAAGTCCCATTGATAAAGGAGAGAGAACCGGACAGAGGGAGAGTAGTTTTTATATGAGAAAGTCAATGTAGTCTTACCGTTTTCGGCATCTTTCCTTGCTTTAACGTCCGGTTCTGGGTTTCAAAAAAGTTAGCAGCGTAAATCTGTTGACTAGTTAAGGAGACCAGCAGAAACTTTTTCCCATGAGAAAAACGGCGCTAAGTAGTCTCCTTCCGGTCTCGAGGAAACAAACGTTACTTTGAACGTGAGTACGAAGACCTATTTTCAGCCGTTCGCCTCTTACAATATATTTTCTTTGTTTCGCCTGAAAGTGAAATGATCTCAAGCTTGATTTCCTGCTAACGGTACTCCTGACTGCAAAACCACACCCAGGACGATGACAGGACAGCAGCCAGCCAGACTGAAAAAGAGAGCGGAGCAGACTCCGCCTGCAGCCGCCGCATCATCATGGCTGAAGTTGAGTGGCTCACAGCTCTCACACAGAAAGTTCACCACTGTCTGCAGACCGGCTCCTTCCTACTTTAAATAACTACTCTTTCATTAGATGATGTTAGACATTTCAGAATCTTGTATACATATGGGCTAGTCTACAATGCGCTTAAAGCAGACCTATTAAGAGGTGCGGTAACTTCTGTATCCTACATTTTACCACTAGAAGTCTGGACTCTTTAAAGGGTTTGTGCAGTTTGTTAGCAGCTAACACCAATGACAGAGATCATAAAATCCCATTAAGTGGAAGGTTTAAACATAACTTACTGCAGAGGCCAGGCTGTTTTACATACTGAACTAACAGAAAAGAAAGCCTTTAGCAGTAATATCTTGTCATTAGGCCTACTTCAGCCTGAGTAGATTTAGTCTCAGGGCAGGGGATTACAATGAAGGCAGAGGTTCTTCAAAAACAAAATAACAACAAAGAAACAATTCAAGTAATATAAATGTACATCATTTAGCTGTATCATTTTATTCATCCAACAAATAAATATGAGCATGCTTTTCATAGTATATTAATAGACTAGGACAGCAGGACAGGACAGGGCAGAGCAAATAGAGTCAGAATATTTGAGTGGTTTTTAAGGCAGCTTTAACCCACACCTGCAATCTTGTTTCACTGACTGGACTCTAATTAGATTTTGTTGATATCATTAGCCTAAAGGTTCACATCCTTTTTCCACCCTTAACTGTGAATGTCTGAATGTGGTCAAGAACAATACAGCGATTTGTGTGTAATCAGTTAAAACAGATTTTTTGTTCATTGTTTTGTCCATTTGTTCATTTTGTTCACTGCTATGTTGCAAACTTAATAAAGCCATGCTGTGACGTGCATTGTGCATGTCAGTATTTTGTCCATGATATTAAAGTTAATCAAGAAATGTAATTATAAGCAAACCATCTCTGGCTCAGTGTGCAGCTGGCCAAAATTTCTCGCTTGTTTTTTTGTGTTTTAAAGGTCAGCGAATGAGTGTTGCGTGCACAGGACTACTCTTTATTAATATCAACAGTTGGCATCAATTTTGGCATGAATATTCTAACAACTGTTTTGCACGTCAGGTGTTTTGGCTGTGCAGGGCTGAGTCTGGACTCTGTTATGTTTCTCTTTATGGGCAGAAATGACTTTTGCTGGCCTTTTGCTGTCTTTCGAAATGAAATGAGGCAAGAAAGCAAGTGAAAACTTTCTCTTCGGGATGAGACATTACCCCTAGTTGTCTTTTGCAATATGTGAAGTATGAGTAATTGTGCTTTGAGGTAAAAACATTCTAACATCCCCTCAACCCACATATTGGAAAGCTAGGCGTGCCCCAGAGCTCATGGTCTAAAGTGAGATATAAGGTAAAGCTCCCTTCTTAGACATTTAATTTCTAATCTGGTTCAATAGAAATGTACTTAAAATAAAATCAACTTGCTCCTGTTCAAAAACACCATTAATGAAGCTTAGGTAACTGAGGGTAAAACACACGCAAATTTGATGTAACACCACCAGATGGTGCAACATTTATTCAAAGCATTTTGTTCAAAAACACAAATCAGGTGAGAGACAACAATTGCAGCAACAGACCAATGTAAATGTGCTCTGTGAGAAATCTGAACCCATCATGCCAGATAGAATGCATGTTTACATTTTCACCTTGAGCATGTTTAGAAACCATCACATTGACTGTCATGGATAAAACAGATTAAGTCAGTGAAGGTGAAATGTGAATCAGGGGCATGTATCTCTGTAGACAAACAGGAAATCGGGCTCATCACATGCAGGTGAGGGAAACTCTTCCTTGTTGTCCCTTAACAGTGGTTCCTCTAGATCCACGGACCAAGGTAGATCCCGGTCCCTGTCTTCAGGTGAGGACTGTAGCTGTCTTAGATGTTAAAAGTGTGACATCATCAAAGGTCATAAATCTTAACTTCATACCTCAGTTTGACAGGTAGTGTAAGTCATTTACTCTCTTGGGTGAAATCATGAATACTACAGTGACAGGCTGAAAGGGCTTTGCTGAACCATTCTCTTCTCATACTGTACATTGATTTGCTAAGCTCAGCAGCCAGTTAAGAGTGGTCTCTCTCTGACCAACAAAGCCCAGTGGACTGACGCTGATTCAACATACAACTAGTTCCAACTGTGCAGGACACACCGGGAAGATGAGTCCCGACAGATGCTCACTGATGGACGATGGTGGCCGACGTCCGACCATTGGTGTGGTGTATCCTCTTGCTCTTGCCTAGTGTCAGTTGGGATCGGCCAAATCAACGCTGCTAAAACTAACAAAAGTGGAATGTCAAGGGGCGGGGCCTCAAAAATCATGACATGTGTAAAGCACAGACAAACTACAACATCAGTAACACAGAAGCTAACTGACAAGTTTACATTTACAGTAGGAATGAAGTACTGCTAACTAGAATTTAGTTGGCCAAATAATAACAGCCTTTTAAGGAATTCCCTATATACCTTACATGCAGGTACTCTAGAATACAAAAAAAATAAGGAACAACGAAATGTTATGTGAAAGAGAATAAAACTGTTACCACATACCTTACCAAACCATTCAGGCGCTC